TTCACACCTTCTTCGTCCGATTTCGTTGAAAAGTCCTACCCGCTTTACCTCTTTGAAGACATTATCCCCTGATTTTTATCGATAGTTTTCTTAGGTGACTTCGGTCATTTGAGATGTAATTAACTATAGGGGCTTGCCCTTATAGGGAGCTTTTCTGAACCCAGCTTAAAATAAACCCTATTTAATTTTTTGTATTAAATAGGGGAACTTGTCGGCAAATAAAACGGTTTCGCAGACCCAAACGGATGTCATATCTTTCTTAGTTTATTTGATCGAGCCTCACCCTCAAGTCTTGTGTTTATCCCTCGGGGTAGATACAAGATTTGAGGTTGAGTGCTCTTTCATTTAAACTATGGAAAATATGAGGTCAGTTTGATTTCATATTTTTCTAAAATTATACATATATATACGTAAATTAAAAAGTCCTTCCGAAGCGGGCGACGGGATTCCGATTCCGGCGACCGACAGCTTCTTACGGGCGACCCCCAAACATTCAAACTCTCTTTTCCTCCCCCCCTTTTTTAAGCGCCGACAATGGGCAGTAAGTAATGAAAAGCTTTCATAAGAAGATCCAATTCTTGAGGGAGAAATGGTGACGTTTAGGATAAATTTGTCTTTTGCATTTGAAAAAAGTACGATCAATAATGTAAAAAAGTTTTTCTATTCAAACGGGTTATGATTTTTAACAAGGGAAGTTTTATAATGTTGGTTATGTTGAAGTTGCTTTTAACCAAGTTTTTAGTAATGATGAAGTTTACTCAAATGAAGCTTTAATTCTCCAAACTAGAAATTCTTAATATTATGGTTGTAACCACACCTAGTTACATATGTTTGTTGTTCCTTTTAAATACTAGGTGTTAATTTATAATTAAAGATTTTGATTTTGCACGTAAATATCTCAAATAAATGATATAATGGATTGAGGAGCACTTCACACAACACTACCTTACCATGTCATAATGTTTGGAAATCTAGTACTGTATACATAAAAAATGTTAATGAAGTATTATTTTATGTAATATAAGAAATAACCAAATCAAGATGAAAAAAAAAATCATTTTAAAAAATTTAGCAGCATAACTCACTGTTACCTTGTCGGAGGTTTAGCACGTAGAAGATTTCAATGGCTATAATAGACTTGGGAAAAAGGAAGCTAACTCATAAGAGGAAGTTCATCACCATTGGCAAGGTTATTTCTTTCGCTACGACAAACAAGAGGGTGAGTTGTCATACATTTGTAGCAAATTTTTTTGGAGTGGTTGGGTATGGTGTCAAGTTAATTATTTACTATTCAAGGAATGCTCCTAGCAACTAATGAGAAAAATCCTCAAATTTGACAATTTTTTTTGGATGCTCATTGCTCAACATAAATGTAAATTTGGTGGTATTTAGTGAAAAATGAAAGACTAAAGATTTATTTATGTCTATTATTTATTCAAAAGGTGGTCTGAAAGAAAAACGCATATGTCAACAGTCTATTTCAAATTGAAATCTACTATTAGAATTAACCGATGCGGACAAACTGGGTTGACAATTGATTTTGGGCCAAAATTGGTTTGGGAGCCTCTTAGAGTTATCCAGTTGATTTTGGGCTGAAATTGGCCACCAAATTAGACAGGTTGGTTTTGTTGGATCAATAAGCATTTGTTTCAAGTACAAAAGGTGGTCCAAAGTATTTTTAATTTTTTGATTATTGATTATTTAAGATATATTGTTTAAATTTCTCTATAGTCTGCATGAAATATCATAATTGATTTCTTTGGAAATGTCACCAGTAGTTTTGAATATCCAGCATTAATGGAACTTGGTTTTTTAATACAAGTTATGTAAGATTGACTTGGAAAGGTTGTTTGTACTTAATTATGAGCCTCTTAATGGAATAAAAAATTAAAACTTATTTGATTTGGTATGCTTTTGGATTGATTCACTTTGACCTTTTGTAATCATTGACATTGTTGAATTTGAGTGTCTTCACAAATGAACTTAACTCTTAACTTAAAAGTCGTGATAAGTCTAAATACACATGAAAATTTACCATCAGTAAGAGTATATTTGAGCTGATTGTAACTTTTGTAAAAATTGCTATAAAGCTGTGGTGGGGAAAACAACCTCTTGGAGAGTTACGGTGATAACTATAAATTTATATTTTTTTTTCAAAAAATCATATAATAGCTTTTTAACAACCACCACACTAGCAGACCAAATTGAAAAAAAACTGCTTTCCACAGAAATTTCGAAACGACAACAAGAAAGTAGTTTCTCAAACAGAGTTTTGATGGCGGTTTGAAATGTAATTAGATAGAAAATTGTCCAAACAAACTTAAAATCAACGTGGCATATAGTCAATAGAGGAGTCACAACTTTTAAGTTTAAAGATTCATGTAAATCTATGCTATAAGTCTCCTTCAAAGCTAGCCTAAGACTTAGGACGATGATGGGGAGGGCTCATTGTCCCTGCCCTCTTCTCCATTTGCTGCCTTCGACGGTAGAGACTATGCAAGCATACAAAACTATTCAACTCAAATTGATTTTCTTAATCATATTTATTAAATAATCAATATGACGTTTTTATTATATTTTGAAAATTTGTGTACTACAGAAAGTAGGCACTGCAATTGTGTTAAGAAAACCAAATTGAAAAAAACTGTTTTCCACCACAGAAATTTCAAAAAGACAACAACAAAGTAATTCCCCCAACAGAGTTGTGGTGGCGGTCTGAAACGTAATCATATAGAAAATTGTCCCAAACAAACCCTAAAATCAACGCGGCATTAATATATAGTCAATAGAGGACTCACAACTTTTAAGTTTGAAGATTCATGTAAATCCACGCATTAAGTTTCCTTCAAACCTAGCCTAAGACTTAGGACGATGATGAGGGTGGGCTCATTGTCTGCCCTCTTCTCCATTGGCTGCCTTCGACGGTGGAGACTATGCAAGCATCCAAATCTATTTATTTTAACTCAAATTGATTTTTTTAATCATAGTTATTAAATAATCAATATGACGTTTTTATTATATTTTGAAAATTTGTGTACTGCAGAAAGTAGGCACTGCAATTGTGTTAAGAAAATGAGAAGTATGTGCAACATATCTCACAATACCTATTGACATTCCAATGAAAAGACTGGACACAAAAAAACATAATATGCTTTGTAGTAGAGAACTCCAGTTTGAACTAATCAGCTAATTGATAAAAATAGCATAGTTTGTTTAGATTATCTTAGGTGCAGAAATCCTATTCAATGCTTCAAGAACGATTCATATGAAATGAACAACCTGGATAGTACATATTCAGCCAAATACATACTTATGTGAGAGAAAGATGGGTTAGTTGGGCAGGGTGTTATAATTTGAGCAATCAGACAATTGGAGGTGGGAGACAGTAATATAGATTTGAGACTTAATTAAATTTCTGTGTCAAGGTTGGTTTGGCATTTGTGATGTAATACTTTTATCCATGTCGAATTGGTATTTCAACTGTGTCCAACATCACCTTTTATGTTTTTTTTTCCGGAAAACTGACAGCTGAAGTAGCTTGTTTGGCAAATTTTTGGTTGAATTGTACTAATATGAGCTTAGAAATTAGACTTAAATTGAAGCAAAGGCGATCTTTAATTAACTATTATGTTGTTTTATTGTTCTGATATGATCCTTGTTAATCTTCGCAAATATAAAACATGTTTGTACTTTCACTTCTTTATGTTAATACTGAAAATTATAGGCGCATAAAGTTAACTGTTTTTAAAATTTATTGTAAATTTTGGTTCTACTCTTGTGGTAACTGTCAATCCCAGTTCATCACATCATTGAAGTTTTTCATGGATTATGCTAGGCATACTGACAATCTCTTGTTTGTTTTTTCTTTTTTGACTTTGTTCTCACTGGATTTTGCTCATTTGATTTCTTGAGTCATGTATTTTTAGTAGTTCTTTATTATACTTGAATCCTTTAAAAAAATAATGGTAAAGGAAATTACTGCATATTTTAGCTATACTAATAACTTGATGTATGAAACGGAGTTAGCTTCAGCGTCAAATACTCTTTATATTTATACACTAGTTAAATTGGTTAAGCTCTACCTTTTACAATATCTTTTTTTGTCTTGATTTAACCACATGTTTTGTAAATAAAAGGAAAAAAAAAACATGTTTTGTAAAGAAATAATTTTCATTTATGGTGCTCTATTGGAATTGCACAATTTAATGTTTGCTTGCTTAGGCTGATGGGCTTGTATGCATGTTGTTCTCCCAGTTTACCTGATTGTGTGCAAGTCTTTTTAGCTGGTTAAAATGCATACATGTTTGTCCCTTTTTAGCTATGTTTGCAGATATTGGTGTTACGTTTTAGGAAATGAAGTTTTTTTTTAAAAGATGGATGTCATCATGTGAATCCTACATTTTTCTCTTAGTTGTTTAGCCATATATGTGAATTTATCCAATTTCCCATCAAATTTTCCTTTGTTTTTTTTTTCCAGGAATGAATGAGCTAGATGTTACAGAATATCGGAAAAGCTTGGCAATACGAGTTTCTGGGGTTGATGTACCAAAGCCAATAAAAAACTTTGCAGATTGTGGTTTTTCTACTGTGTTAATGAATGCTATATCAAAGCAGAGTTATGAGAAACCAACTCCAATCCAGTGCCAGGCTTTACCAATTGCACTTTCTGGAAGGGACATTATTGGTATTGCAAAAACAGGTTCTGGCAAAACAGCTGCTTTTATACTACCAATGGTCGTTCATATAATGGATCAACCTGAACTAAAAAAGGAAGAGGGCCCTATTGGTGTAGTATGTGCTCCTACAAGAGAATTAGCACATCAAATATATCTGGAAGCAAAGAAGTTTGCGAAGTCACATGGTTTGCGGGTCAGTGCTGTCTACGGTGGAATGTCCAAGCATGATCAGATAAAAGAACTGAAGGCTGGCTGTGACATTGTTGTTGCCACTCCAGGCAGACTAATAGACATGCTCAAGTTAAAGTCCCTAACAATGTTGAGAGCTACTTACCTTGTTCTAGATGAAGCTGACCGGATGTTTGATCTTGGGTTTGAGCCACAAATACGGTCAATTGTAGGTCAGATAAGACCAGATAGGCAAACTCTACTTTTCTCTGCTACCATGCCTCGCAAAGTTGAAAGGTTAGCTAGAGAATGTCTCACTGATCCTATTAGAGTTACAGTCGGTGAGGTTGGAGTGGCTAATGAGGACATTACTCAAGTTGTTCATGTAATTCCTTCTGATTCTGAGAAAATGCCATGGCTCCTAGAGAAACTTCCTGGACTGATTGATAATGGTGATGTCCTCGTTTTTGCATCAAAAAAGGTTACTGTGGATGAAATTGAATTGCAGTTGATCCAGAAGCGTTTCAAGGTAGCAGCGCTTCATGGTGATAAAGATCAGGCATCCCGAATGGAAACCCTGCAGAAGTTCAAGTCAGGAATTTATCATGTTCTAGTTGCTACTGATGTTGCTGCTCGTGGACTCGACATCAAGTCAATCAAGTCAGTGGTTAATTTTGATATTGCCAAAGATATGGATATGCATGTTCATCGTATTGGAAGAACAGGTCGTGCTGGTGACAAAGATGGAACTGCTTACAGCCTTATTACGCAGAAAGAAGCACGTTTTGCTGGGGAGTTGGTAAACTGTTTGATTGCTGCTGGGCAAAATGTAACTAATGAACTTATGGATCTTGCTATGAAGGTAATGTTTCCTAATCAGATAGCTCTAATGTTTAATACCTTTTTCATAGCAGCTTGCTCCCAGCATTTTTTAGTTTTCTTGATTGTCGTTGAGACGTTACTCTTTCAAATCTGTGTTGCTATTAGTTCTATGGAGAATTTTTGCATTGCTGTAAAGAGATTTCCAAGCTATTACGACAGAAAGAATGAATTTACAACCTTTGAACTCATCTTTTATTTGGTCAATTACACTGTTTTTATGATTTTTTCTATTTGAAGGTGTTGATGCGCTGCTTTGTTCTTTATGAAAGTTGATCATTTTTCTATGTAAATTTTTTAGGATGGAAGGTTCAGGGGAAGACGCGATGCAAGAAAAGGTTTGCTTTTATAGAGTCATACATAAGCAGTTCTATGCTTGTGTTGGTTTAACGCAGCAGACACTTACTAATCAGTCATTCCAAAACATCTTCATTGGCTAACAATAATTATTATGCAGGTGGAAAGAAAGGAGGTAAAGGGAAAGGTGGCGGAGGGCGAGGCGTTCGTGGTGTTGACTTTGGTTTGGGTATCGGTTATAATCCTGAGTCAACAAGCACATCTCAGTCTGCTGCTCCCAGTAGATCGGCTGCTGTTAATTCTTTGAGGACTGGGATGATGGCTCAGTTTAGAAGCAACTTTGTTGCTGCCTCTTCTAATTCCCCAAATGATGTTAGTAGAGCTTCAAGACCATTGTTGCCTGGTTTTGTTTCTGGTGGTTCCATTGGTGGGGAAGCATACATGGCATCACAGACAAACTCAATCTCTTCTTCTGCTTCAGTAGGAAGTACTTTCCAAAACGGAATTCAGAGGAAGGCTGAGAGGTATAAAGCTTCATACAATCGTATTTCAGTACGAACCAGCAATTTTTAATCGAAACATTTTCTTGGCTTTATTTATTTTTATGTGTTGCAGTGCATTATTGGAAATCTTTTTAGTTTAGAATATTTTATAATACTGATTATGCAACTCTGGTTTTGCCTTTGTCCTTCATTGTGCAGCTCCCATGACAAGCCCAGGGAAAGAAAGCGGCCTTCCGGATGGGATCGATAGTTTTCAATGTATAATATGGTACTGTTTATGGAAAATAACATTTTGTATTCCAGAATGTCTTTGCGAGCTTATCAACAATCTATGTCGATATATTAAGTTGTTTATTCAATCCCAATAGCCTATCTTTTAGATGCAGTTTATTTTTTTTATTTATTTTTTTTTCAATTTAAATTTGGCTGTTTTATAGTTGCTTGTTATTTTATTTGAATATTCTGAGTTTACATGTTCCATCACAACCGTTCAAAAAACAGCGAGGTTATCTGTTAATGGCGTTTTAAGTTTTAAATGACCATGGTTTTTTGCAGATTGAGGTGCTTCCTATTCCTCTCTCGTCGACTATTTTGTTATTTTTCTGTAAGTGTTGACCTCACTGTTGATTGAGGTTTAGTTTTCCCTTATTAGTTGCCTAAGGTCTAGCCATAGGATTTTTCTGTTGACTATTCGTAGAAAATTAGAAAAGAACCCTCACCATTAGAAATTTTAAACTTTTAGTTGCTCAACTTGAAGTTTCACATATTGGTCCTAATCTCTAGCATTTAGTAAGTGGGGTCAGTCTGAGGGAGCCCAAGATGAGTCCCCATATAACCGATTGACCTTAGGGTTGACTTTGGGTGTTGGACTTGAACTTTTTCACTCACTACACTCACTATCACCTATATTCACTCACAATCCTAAAATCCAAAATTGTTGACTTTGACCCCATGGTCTTTTGGGAGACACATGTAGATGGTCTCCTAAACCCACTAGCCCTAGGCTAGGGTTTAGCTAAGACCAGTACATAGATGACCCAAATGGGGATTCCATTGGTCCATTATTCACATATGATGACTGGCTTCCCAATTCTACCAAAAATATTCAATTTGACATTTTACCCCCAAACCTACCCAAATTACCTAAACACCTCAAATTTAAAATTTGGTCAAACAAATCCCTTAAATTTGGCCAAACAAATCCCAATTTCACCCAAAAATACCCAAATTTGTTCAAAAATCATTTCAAGCCATTTCAAATTACCCAAAACCACAAAAAGATTCCAAATTTACCAAAATATCCCCAAAATTGCCAAAATTACAAATATACCTTTAACACCCCAAACTTTCCCAAAACCTCCAAAATCACTCCAAATGTTTCCAAAACCAATTTGGACCCTCCAATTGAATCCAAGTTGGCCGCCAATTTGACCATTTTGATCAAAACTCTCAAATTGTCTTTAAAGGCCCAATTTCCCCAAATTCACCTCAAATGTCCATCAATTTGGTCTCTATTTCCCCCAATTTCAATCTTAAACTCAAATTCATCTTTCATTTGATCAATCTAAATCAAACCCAAGCCTAATTGGCCCATGCTTTGAGCTCAATTTTGATCCAAATCAAAAACCCCAATTTTGCCCATATGACTTAACCTCACTTAATTGAACCTCATAGCATAATCAATTTGCCTTAATTTGAATCCCAAACTCTTCATAACACCCCTACACATCAAATTTGACCTTCAACTGGTCTTCCCTCAATTTCACTTAATTTTAACCCAAATTCAAAATCCCCAAATTTGCCCCAAATTGGCCATATCTCCAAATTCCACCAAATTGATTGCCCTAACTCCAAAATTGACACTCAATTTATGTTGAAAACTCTTCATGTCATTCATACAGACCATTTTCAACAATCAATTTGAACCTCACCCAACCTTAGCCCAACCTACACCCAAGTCTAGTCCAACATGCCCAAATTGACCAAAATCCCAAAATCCTTCAAATTGAGCTTCCAATTGGACTCAAAATCACTTCAATCCTTGACCAAAAATCTTCATAACAATCATCTACACAATGTTGATCAATCAAATGGGCTCAAGGTCATGGCTAGCCTAACCTAAACTCAACTTTTAGCCATTTGGACCCAAATTGGGTCCATGCATCAAAATTAACTTAGACATCTCAAAACCACCAAATTGATGACTCCACAGCCACTAAGCACACTCTATTGACCAAGCTAAACCCCCTTGGACCAGCCATGGTGAGCTAGTGAGCTATGGGTGAGCTATGGACCATTGGATCCCTAAATTAAGGGATTTATGCCCATTTATGGGCCTTAACCAAAAATCTTCCCCATCATCACTTGCCATTGAGGTTAATTATAATTAACCCTCTCACTGGCCCACTTGACCTCCTGGCCACCTCCCCTGGCCCTGTTGGCTGGCCTAGTGGCCAAAAAACACTAAAACCAAGAGCCCCACGCCAAAATTCAAACTTAAACTCACCCATCTGAGCTGGCCAATTCCAATTGGCTTTAGCACTTCAAAACCCTCCACCTAAGCACCATTTTGCACTCTTCAATTGGCCATGACAGCTACTCTAGGCCATTTTTATTTAAACCTCACCTCCATGGCCAAGAAAGGAGAGCTGAAATTTGCTTAAGGAAACTCTGCCAAATTCTTCTCAGAGACTACCTAAGAACTCCTCAGTTCAAGCTCACCATTTTCCCCCACTAATCCCCACTGTGGAAGCTCAATTTTGAGCTTAAATTTCAGCCAAAACCTGGACAGAACTCCCCACACCTCCACAGTGAACCAAACTCCAATTAATTGTGCACACACCATCCCCATAGTGAGAGAAGTTGATTCCCCACAAAAGCCCCCTCTGAAATAGCCTCTAACCTAGCTCTAGATCAACATCTGAAATCGAGCTTGATCGAATTCATACCTAGACCATTCACCAAGGCTTGGGACTTCATCTGGAAGTTCGTTGGGACCAATAGAAGCTACCACAACCATCTCATTGAGGCCTCCCTTCTCAGACAAAGGTATTGAAATTCAACCCTAACCGAGCTTTTTTCGACCCTTCATACGTATTTACTATATTTCATACCGTATAAACCGTATAGATGTGTTCGTCTTGAGTAGATGAAGGTTTAGGAACAAACCCCACACAATTTGGTTGAGTTTAGGCCAAGATCTTAAGGTTTTAGTGTGAACGGCTCACGGGTTAGGTCACTTGGGGACGATAACGGAGAGCCGTCCGATCGCGCGTGTATCCAATGGACGGAGGAGATCAAATCGAATAGATCCATGGTGCATAAAGTACGGTCCGCGTGGAGGCTGCGTGGTTGGCAGCGTCAAATGGCGGAGCGGCGTGTGGAGCCTTCGGAGCGGACGAGGATGAGTTTGCGCCGCGTGGATAAGTAGAAAAATAGGGATTTTTGGATTATTTTAAATGCCTAAACTTTAAAAATTTATATCTTTCTCTAGAAAAATCAATTTATATCTTTCTCTAACTTCAAAAATCCATATCTTTGTGTAGAAAACTCATAAAAATGAAAGTAAAATACCCTCTTGCTCAGTGAACAGACATAATCAAAAATTGGCTTCACTGGAATCAATTTAAAGGAAAGAATTTAAGTACATTTCTGAATCTATATTTAAAGTATTAACATTCTGGTATTTTAATTCTCCATGGCTTAAAACATTTCACCATGGCTTAAAATTTTAAGGGTTTGTTCCTCATGACAGAGGTCATGTCTTCTAATTTTTCCAAGGTCAGAGGGCATCTCTATGCTTCTAACCTTAACTTTCAAGCTAAGGTGACCATTTTGGCCTATTTTAATTATATAAATCAAAATATCACTTGAAAAACTATGAGAACAATTTTATTAGGTTTCCCGTGGTCAGAAAAATCTAGAAAAAATATTGTGATGCTTTGAATCATTTTATAAATTTTTATACTTAGTTAAATGTAAATACCTTGTATAAATTTATGTAAATTATATACATATAAAAAATTAAGAATACATAGCAAAAATTAACAAAATCAACTCCACATTATTCATAAAAATCATATCTACCCACTGTAAAAATTTGAAAAATTATTTGGCTTGATTTAAGCACTAATATGTATTTTCTAAGAAATCTTGTATTTTTGTACAAAGATAATTATAATAAATTAAATGCACTTAGAAAAATTATGAAAGGTAGTTTTACGAGTTCCTTATGATCAGAGGTACTTAGGAGAAATAAAAGTTATTTTTGGGAAAATATTTGATTTTTGAGCCATATTTTGGATTTAAAATAATTAAAAATAATTAAAAATTCTAAAAATACAAAAATATTTCAAAATGTGCCTAATTGTTCTCTGATCACTTGGGACTTAATAAAATATTTTTCATAATTTTCCTAAGATTAAAAAACAAGTTTCAAAAGCTTAAAAATGAATTTTCTTTATTTTCTAACCAAGATAAATATAAAATTTGATTTTCTGAGTTTTCTGAATTAAGAGGAGTCTAATAAAAGTATAAAAATAATTTTTGTAATTAAACCACTATTTTCTATTCAGATAAATCATGAAAATTGATCTAAAATTAAATAGTAAAAATAAAAATTTGATTCAAAAAATCATGAAATTTGGTTAAGTGTTTTTCTGACCTTATGAAACCTCTAATAATTTTTCCATAAATATAAATTTTATTTTAGATAATTAAATAAATTAACCTTTGAAAATCCTATCTTCTAAAATTAAAAAATTATCTAAATTAAATCAAAATTTGAGAGGTCCACATATCCTCCTCTAACATTTTAATTACCTCATCGATATAACACTTTAAACCCTCAAAATCATTTGAGTTGTGTTTAAAGAGTTATGAGGTGAAGTGCCCCAAGGGAAAAGTGGTTATTTTAAGACTTTGGTGCCTTCATCAAAATTTTGGATTATGAAAGGGAAAATGGGTAATTTTGATCTTAATAAACATGTTGGATGATTGAGATACAATTGGGCTAAAAAGTAGAAACCTATTCAACACCCTTTCACAACATCAACTAAAAGTATAATTCTCCTAATCTTCATGACTTGGAAGTCAATTAAAGATTAAATGATTCTTAAGTGATGGGCTTAAGTCAGAAAGATGATAATTTACTTTTCTCAAGCCCAAAGTTAAGGATGATTTGACTATTTGATAAGAATACAAATCACTCAAATCAAAACTTTGATAATCACCATTTCACTCATTATGATTATTAAAGGTTTGGTAGTGACATAGGTTCGCTGTCTAAACTCAAGTTGATTAAATTTAGAAAATGATATGATTGATGATTAATATCTTTAAACACTACATGTCTAACTTTAACTCCTGGGCACCATAATC